CAGATTTATCTTACAGATGGTTTGAGATAAATATAAAAGAAAACAGAGATAAGTTAATTTTGACACAACGCTAAATAGGAAGAATTGGACCAAGGGTGCCGCGTGGGCTAGTAATGTTACTTCTTGAGGTGCTGGATGTTCCACCATCAGGGTATGGTGAGGGGGGTCTCCTAAGTGGTCTACAACTTGTATCCTCTGGAAGGAGAGGTCGCGATCATGCAGTATGGTCCCTCCCAGGTGGGTGCCAACTTTCCTTTAGGCTCCGCGTGGCTAGCATTGTTTATCCTGAGAACTAGGTCTCCCACCATGAAGTCTCTTGCCTCGACCTTGTGGTTGCAGTGAGAAGCGACCTGTTGCTTGTACTGTGCGTCCTGGATGCATGCTGCCTCTCGTACTTCTTCCATCAAATCCAAGGCACCGCAGAGTTCATCTTCGTTCTCCTCCTCTAGATAGTGAAGAGCGTGTAGGATGGTACCTCTATCTCCGCCGGGATCACTACTTCCGATCCGTAGGCCAAAGAAAACGGCATCCGACCTGTCGCCTTTTGGGGGGGAGGGGTTGTACGATGTGTCCACAGGACGTGAGGTATGGCCTCCACCCAACTTGTGTCCTACGCCTTCAGCCTTTTCTTGATGCCTTGCATTATTGTGCAATAGGCGTTCTTTGCATGACTGTTCCCTTGCAGCTGGGTGACCGATGCAAACTTTCTTTCTATTCCGAAGCCCCTGCACCATCTTTTAAAAATCCCGGACTCGAATTGGGTGCCATTATCGAAAAAAATCGTGTGTGGGATGCCAAATCTGCAAACTCTGTTTTTCCAAAAGAACTTTGCGACCACTGTTCCAGACTGCGACGCGATTGGCTCTGCTTCCACCCAACAACCAGCGTGCTTGACACATCCCCTTGTCAACGGGCCCACAATGTATGTGCCCCACTTGTAAAAAGACCATGGGCTAAAGATCAAAACCAAGTTGTGTTGTGGTACTCGAATGATGGGAGCAAAACATTAGAATTGTGGGCACTTGAGCACGTAGTTGTAACAATCTTGGGCGAGAGTTGGCTAGAAGTACCCTATGTGTAGGATTTTCTTGGCCAAATGGCGCGACCCAATATGGGCACCGCAGGCCCCCTCATGTACACTTTGCATCAAGAGCTGGGACTCTTCTGGATTGACGCATAACAGCCACGGTTGCAGGTATCCCTCTTTGTAGAGGATACCACCTTTTAATAGGAACTTTGGGGCCTGCTGTCTCAGCTTTCTGACCTGAATTTTATCTGCTGGTAGTGTGCCGTCAGTCAAGTACTATACTATGGGCGTCATCCAAGACTCAGCCGCGATGTTGACCTGGTTCACCATTTCTGCTTCAATGCTTGGTCGCGGGAGCACTTCCACTAAGACTCGCTGGGTCAGGTGCGCAAATGCCGAGGACCAGCTAGCTGAGTGCGTCCGCCCTCTTGTTAAGGGCTTTTCGCACGTAGGAGACAATACATTCTTCAAACACATCCCGGAGTTGTCGCACCATGTCTAGGTACTTGGCCAATCATTCACCTCTAGTCGCATATCCTTCGCGAATCTGGTTGACCACCATGCTGGAGTCACTGAAAGCAGCCGGGTGGGGCCGAGCTTTCTTCCGATCGTAAGGCGAGGGATCAAGGCTTCATACTCCGCAACATTATTGGTGGTTGAAAAATCGAAACACAGAGCGTACATTTGTTCGCTGCCTCTTGGGTCGACCAACATGAGGCCTGCTTCCGCACCACTGCCGGTGGAAGATTCGCCCATAAATAAAGTCCACTACTTCTGGGAGGAGTGTTCCCGTCGAGGAAGGGATCACCGCCTTTTGTGTCGGCATTTCTACCCAAAAATCTGCTAGCGCATGCCCCTTGACAGCGCGTCTAGCGATGAATTCAATGTCATGGTTACCTAACTCAACCGCCCATTTGGTCATGGGACCTGATGTTTCCGGCTTTCGAAGTACCTGTCGAATTGGTTGATCCGTCATCACCCGGATGGTATGGGCCTGGAAGTAAAGTCGCAACTTCCTCGCAGCCATGACCAAACAAAGGACGAGCTTCTCAATGTTGGTGTATTGGTTCTCCACTCCCTGTAATACCTTGCTAACGTAGTATACCGGCATTTGTCGTTTGTCATCTTCCTGCACTAGGACCGCGTTAATGGTTAATGTGCTTGCTGACAGGTATATCACGAGGGGTTCCCCATTTTTTGAAGTGGCTAGGGTAGGGAGTTTCAATAGATGTTTCTTCAAGCCAGTAAACGCCTTGCGACAGTTGTCCCCCCACACACAAATTTTTCTGCTTTCCACAACGCATTGAAGAAAGGCAAACAACGCTCCGCCGCCCGCGACAGGAAGCGATTTACTGCGACCAATAGCCTAGTCAGCTTCTGTATCTCTTTGACAGTGTTGGGCTCCCTGAGTTCCAGGATTCCCGTTACTTTGGATGGGTCTACGTCGATTCCTCTAGGGAACACTTGGAACCCCAAGAACTTTCCTGAAGCGACCCCAAATGCGCACTTTTTGGGACTGAGCTTCATGTTGACCCGTCGCAGTGTCTCGCATGTTTCTTCGAGATCACTAAGCATGGATTAGTACCCGCAGCTCTTTATCACCATGTCGTCAACGTATACTTCCATGTTCTGGCCAATCTGGTTGTCAAAAATCCGATTGACCATACGTTGATATGTCGCTCCCACATTTTTTAGGCCAAAATGCATATTGATGTAACAAAATGTCCCAACATCTGTGATGAAGGCCGTCTTCTCTGGGTCGCCTTCATCCATTAGAATCTAGTGGTACCCCTTGTATGCGTCCAAGAAGCACAGGATCTTGAATCCGGAAATGGCATCGACCTTTTGATCTATGATAGGCAGTGGGTAACAATCCTTGGGACAATGTTTGTTTAGGTCCTTGTAATCTATGCATATGCGCCATGTCCAATCAATCTTCCTGACCATTACTGGGTTTGCGATCCAAAGAGGGTAGAGGACCTCTCGCATGATTTGTGCGGACAACAATTTGGGGACCTCCACTTTAATGGCTCCGCTCCGCTCCTCTGAGTGGCGTCACTGGCGCTGTTTAATGGGGGACGCGTCTGGGAACACATTGAGCGTGTGGGTGCCATATTCTAAAGGGATGCCAGTCATGTTTGTGGTTTCCCACACAAAGACATCCTAGAATCTTTTCAGTAAGGCGACAACCGCATCCTTGATACCGGGGGAAGGGCCGTACCGATTAGGACAACTTTGTCTGTCATGAAGGGTTGAGGGGGATCGCCACCGTGTCTCCGTTAGAGAAGTCATCCTGTTCTCGTCCTCTGGCGTGTGGAGCATGGCAACATCTCGATCAGCGGTGGTGACTCCAAAACAACGGGTAGTGGTTGTGGTCGTACTACTGGAGCAAGGCAGGATTACTTGGTTAACGTTGGCAATAGTCAACGTCTGATTCCCCCGTCTTGCTGCGATAGACATACATTGACGCGCCAACTGCCGATCGCCCCGCACCTCTACGATGCCTTGGTCAATTGGGAACTTCGTGACAAGATGGTACGACGAAAAATAGTCTTAGCCTGATTTATCCAGGGCCTTCCCAATAGTATGTTGAATGGGGCGACTACATCCACCACCGCAAAGTCATTAAGCTCCGTCCTGTAGGTAGGATAGTCACCCACTTTGACGCTCAAAGTGATCATGCCCGTCGGGATGATTATGTGGTTGGAAAAATCCATTAAAGGCATGGCACACGGACGCAGTTGTGATTTGTCTATCCCCAGCTTCTCGAAACAGTCCTTGTACATCACATTGACACTGCTCCCTGAATCGACATAAACGCGGCGGACCTCCCTATTATAGATTATCGCGCTGATGACTAGGGCGTTCGGGCTGGACGGTGGTCTTGTGAGCGTTGTCTTGCTAGCAGGTGATGGTTTTTGAAGGTTTAAGGCGCTTGTGGTCGGATTCTCTCGGCGGGCGGGATCATAACACAGCCTTTGCTGAGGAGATGCTCTGAAATTCAAGTGGCATTCAAACAGCATTCAACGAAACGCCGTGAACGATGGGTTTTGCTGGGGTGTGTACTTCTCTTGGGGAAATTTTCTTTGCATCCTTCTCTTCTGCTAGGTTACCTCCATCGCCTCTTCCCGTTCTGCGGCCATTCCATTGCCGTCCCCGTGCAGCGCGGTCACCTTGTGCGAACTGGCGCGGCTTGCTTTCTTTCTGCTTCTTGTCTAACTCCCTTTTTAGCTCGCAACATTCCTCCGTGAAATGGCCATGTTGCTGGTGGTAGGCGCACCAATCCTCGTTCGACCCTAACCCCGGAAAGGGGTCGGGGGATTGGGCCGCGGTGCTCTTGTGAACTTGGAGCACGTCGCCACACGGCTTTATGAGAGACAGATACCGGTCTAGGCGGGAAGTATGATCACGATCGCATTGGCGACCTGGGTCTCGCCCCCTTGGGGGTAGTGAGGCGTCCTTTCCTCCAAACAACTCTTCCGCCCGGCACGTTGACTCTTGCGCCCGGACCTCCTTCTCGACCAGCTGCCACAATTTTTGACTTGTGGTGGAGAAATTCTTGCTGAGGTCGTGCTTGAATTGTGCGGGCAGACCAAAGGATTAAGACCATTTATAAAGGTTTGACGCAGCACCAAATCGTCCACTTGGTCGATGAGCAAGACCTCCTTAATGTATCGGGCATAATAATCCGTCAGGAATTCCTGGCGCCCCTGTCGCATTACGCCCAGATCGTTCATGGTCCTCACCATCGTTTTGAATTGAAAGAACCGAGTGTGCAACTTCTCACTAAAGTTTGTGTATGATGGGATGTTGTCCAGCGGCAACGAGTGGAACCAGGACTTGGCGGTGCCTGTGAGAACAGTCGGTAGGGCCTTGGCCATATAATCGTGGTTCACAATGAGCAACCGCATCGCGCTCATATAATCGGTGAGAAATGACACGGGACAGGAGTCACCAGTATATTTCTTTATATTGGTCAGCATCTTGAAGCCTTCGAGGTTCTCCGTCACCATGATACGCGAACAAAGGGGTCCTGAGTTTAAGGAATCGGCCAAGATTACTGCTAGATGCGGGTCAGAAGGGATCACACTAGGGACCTCGAGGACGCAGGCTCCAAGGCGATCAATTGTGACACGCAGTCCGAGCCTGTCAGCGACTGTGTGGCGAAGATCAAGACGGTCGTGCACAGGAGCCTTGGCCGCATTGTGGCGTCCGGGGTCCGTCGCAACTCGGTCTGTGAGCAAATATTGGAGGCTGCGCTCAGGGTCAACCTCTTCGCGATCCCGCTGCTCTTCCCACTGCGCCTCCTAGAACGCTCGGAACTATTCCAAGACTACAGGGTGCGACCTAGCAAATTCTAGCCACTTGTCGTCGATGGGTTTGTCATTCTGCTTGTCGGCGACCCGTGGACTGGTGGTAACTCTCTTCCGACATTTCCAGTTCTTTTTGCAGGTTGGATCCTTTGTATGCGTCGATTATTTGCTTCTCGGTGCGGCCACGCCTAGAATCCAGCTTGGTCGCAACCATCTGCTTCGTCGCTCCAGGATCCTGGGGGCGACTGCCCCGTGGTTCATCAGGTCTTTGTCTCGTGGACACTATCGAAGTATAACTCCAACATTAAAAGAGAGTTCAAGAAACGGGAACACGTTTCTGTCTAACCGCGTTCACCACAGTCAGCGTCCAATTGATGGAGCATCCTTGAGTCAGTCCACGAGTGAGTGCTAATAATCCCCCAAATGCCTGTAAAATAGGGTTAGCACTCAAATACTTAAGTTAGAAGTCTTAGAAAGAGAAAGAGAGACTACTAAATGCTATATGGAGAGAGAATAACATGAGGAATAAATGTCTTGGGGTGCTCCTTTTATAGACCCAAAAAAAAATATAAGAATATTCCCTTACACATGGGTGCAAATAGGTCTTAGTGAATATTATTTGATACCTGGACCGACTAAATTAAAGCCCAATCAAGCGATGGCCAAATTGCCCCATCATATAAGTAGCATACAATTATACAAACACGAAAAATCTCTTACAACAATAGAGCATCTATTGCTAATGCCATGCCTTCAACTCAACAACTCCAACTAATAGTATTACAAATCCGAATCGATACCTATTGATACAACAAATCTTAATAAGTAAGCCCAAATTAATATCTCTTATTGTTACTTGCATTTTATACAAATTTAATTCACTAATGCAAATTATGAAAGCAATAGATGAATTTAAGAAAAAAGTTGATTGTCAATTGCAGAGTCGCTTCTGCAATGAAATCTCTATTTTGGTTTGTTTCTCAAGCAAACCTAACATCATTTTGTTGGCCCACAACCTGCATAAAAGTGACCTTTAATATATTCCCATGTACGAAATTGTAAAGTCGTAATTTTAGCTCATTTAGAGAGAAGCAAAGATATATAAATTTTTATTTTCAGTGTAATTTATATCAACAATAGAAATATAAATTGGACAATTATTTCGAGGAGAAGAGAATCCGTAATTTTTCATGTCCCATCAAAATTGAACAATGCTTATGCTTAAAGTTTGTGTGGAACAAGCATTTACCACAGGCGATCACCATTTGCAACTCTATATTAATCCCTTGACCTCATTTTCCTTACCGTACATTCTCAGAACACTATGTAACCGAACGAATGTGACTTCAAACATATGTATAAATATGAAAGTGACGCCGTGTCCTCATCATTTTCACTCCCAACGGCATTCATGATTCTGTCAAGGTGTGAAAAGAAAAAAAAAAGAACAAGAAAAGGAAGAAAAGAACAATAGAGTTCTAACAACGATAGAGAGACAGAATAAACATTCTACAAGAAGGTTGATGGAAACATTTGTACAGCAATGAAAGAGTAGAGCTTATCATATTGGATGCTTAAACACCCCCACTCCAGCTCAGGCGCCACAAAGAACATTCAGGCTCCTTCAGATAGATAAAAGAATCACCTAGCTACAGACTTACTAATGTTCAAGTTCCCATACGGAAATCGAGTTTGGCGCATTCAGTTAAGATAAATTAGCTACAAATCTGGGTCTACTTTCCCTTTCTGTCAATCTTTTCCAAACCATCTTTCCACAGTAAACTAAAGTGAAGATTGCCATCAAGTAGAGAAGCGGAATTCCAAAGATGCAACCCTCAGGTGCAAGATTCACCAGCGTCTTGGAGAGACAAAGAAAGAAGAACCTCAACAGTTAAATGACTTCATCAGACAACAATCAACATTCTCCATTTCAAAACTGCAAAATATTCTAAGCATGCAGTAGAAAGAACAATGTACACAAATGAATTCGGATGTCATGTATAACGTTAGAATTCTACTCTCCTCTCAATCAATGTTTTTACAGTTCCCTATATCAATGGAAATGGATAGCCTCTATATAAAAATTTAAAAAGTCCAAATTTTGGACTAGAATTGCATTAAGCATCCACTCTGAGGACTTTATTAGTTTTCTGCCATTATCACAGACTTTGGGGAATCATCAGTCTAAAGTCAAATATACAAGCAGGCCCAGTTAACTTGTTTTAACTCTACTTTCTAATGCATGCAATATCTTAATTACATACCTTGGGATATGTACGGGCAAAAATACATTTGCACTAGAATATATGAGTTTAACAGGAGGGACAAAGAAGACGTACCAGCATCCCCGCAATGAGATGAACAACAGGCACAATAAGCTGGTCAACTTTGTTTCTTTCGGCATATCCATTGAATGCAATGACCATTGAGAATGTATGAATCGTGACAAACACGAGAGCTATAAGAGCTGCAAATTCAAAGTTGAAGACCAACAACTATTAGGTGGGGATACACCCAAACCATTAAGTTAACACTACCATTTAACATGCTTAATGCAAGGGCTGAACTAGAACAAATTCCACTTTTGAACCTCCCATGCAAGTTGTGTAGAAATGTAAAAGGATTTACTGACAAAAACTAAATACATATCAGAAGTCCAATTTGTTTCGCAAATACCAAATGTAAACATCACGGAAAGAAATAAGTTCCTTACCAGAAACAAGAAAAAAGGGCATCTGGGAGCATTTTTCCACATAAAAAGTCGCTGATCCGAATGCAGGAGTTAGAAGGCTAAGACAGAAGAAGACAGCATGCGCGACACCATGACCTAAACCACCAGCTGTGCATTCAAACAAAACAAGATGAGCAAAAGATCCAGTATGAAGAAAAGAAGAACTAAGCAAGTCCATGTCTGGATAACAAGCTTCTAGAAAGCAACTTGATGATAGCGATAAAGAAAGAACTCAGTCTCACTCTATACTACAGCATAACCTGTACAACAAAGGTTCCAGTAAATTTGTTAACCTTACATAGTATTTATTTAGTTAACACTGAAAAGACTAAGACACAGTTCAAATACACCATTTGCATAGTTCTTGAAACAGTTACCAGTAATGTAAGAGATAACTGGATCATACTAGTGAGATGCACAGAACACGAGAAAATTTGTGAGAAACACAAGGAAGGGCTGACTTGAAATTTTTAAACGCAGAGTTTAGTATGAATTCTAGGATCTACAGAGTTTTCTTTGTTAGAGCAGTACAATTATTTCCAGAAACAAAACACAGATATTATACTAAAACTCCTCTTGATTTTAATAGAAGTGTACATGTTATTCAAAAAAAAGAAAGTACAAAGAAATAATGCAGAACAATCACTGCAAACAAAGAGGTGACTAACACCAACTAAGCTTCTATACAAGGAAATTAAGACAACTAATTTAAAGCATGCTCCAGCAGCCAGAGACTCATGGACACAAATATACAAATTAGAGGCTGAAAATGGCAAATCAATTCCCGTCATTCAATAAATCGGCTCACACATCAATGATAAATGAAAGAATCAAAAGAAAGAAAGCAACCTGGGAAGAAATGTTTGAAGAATGGAGAAGTACCAACATCACTTGAAATCAACCAAAACTGGAAATGTAGATACAAAAATATGCAATCCCAAGCACACACATAGCACTTTATGCATTAATGTTAGGAACATTACCAAGGGCAATTTGCATCTTATCTGTTAAAAATAGCCGAGGTTTAGAAACTCGGTCCGCAAAAGCATCCAGTATATCTTCCAGCTTCCTATTTTTCCCTCGCAAAAAGAAAATGAAGAAAAATCACAAAATTGTACAAAGGGAAACACTGTCCAAACATTAACAGTCCACTAATGCATACAAATGCAAATATCACTCACAACCATGAATCAATAACGATAATTTGGAATCTAAAATTATTCTGCACATAGGCAATAATCCACAACGATGATACTCTGTAACTCATAACCCATTTACAGGAACACATAAAAATACGAAATAGGACTAAACATCAATTCAAGAGGGAAAAAAAAACCACTAACTTGTAAACTCTCCAGAAGAGGATCCGAAGACCTTCTTGGAAGACCACAGAGGTGAATATGAGAATCGAAAAGGGCAACCAAGATGAGGACGACGACCTAATCGGAAGAAAAGCCCTCCAAATTGCCGACAACGCTATCAGACTCATGAGCCATAACAGTGTACTAAGAAAAAAAAAACCAAAACAAAACGAAATCAGTACGAAATTGATCAGTGCTCAAAAGAAAAGGCACGAAATTCCACCCCAAATAAAAGGATGAAGAAGTATCGGAAAAATTTCAAATTGGAAGTTACCTGGAGAGAACGGTGAGCACTAAAAAGGGTTTGTGAGAGATTACAGAGACGAACAGAGAAAGAGAAGGGCCTAAAGCTAACAAGGCGTAACCAATCCCAGCCGCCACTGTCATTTCGTCTCGCCCGAAATATGTTTATGATCCGTTTTAGTTTTTTGCTGCATTTTTATAGTTAGCTAGGGACTTCAGTTTTTTATTTTTTTTGTCTTTTTGTTATTTCCAATTGAAATGTATATCCTATTTGGTTGCTAATTTGTCATGGAAAAGTGGTCTATTTTCCTTATTTTTTAAAAGGTATTGTTAAAAATCACTTGATTTTATTTCGCAATTTATAAAAATACTGAAATTTCTAAATTTTTCTATTTTTTTTTCTTTTCTTTATTTCTTTTTCTTTTCCTTGTTAAATGCAAACTGATTTTACTTATGTAACGTATAACAAATCTATTAAATCGTTGGTAATATACTATTATCACACTTTGACTTGAATTTTGTAGGTAACCAATAATAAAATTCATTTGACGTGTGGTCCGTACCACATGGTATTTCTTTTCTTCTAATCGCGATTAAGGCAATCTAAATAAAATTTTCTTTATTTTCTCACGTAGGTCATTGTTTCTAGCCAAAATTGCCACAAAGAAACTCACTGTGTTATTCATTTGTGTTTTACCCCGAGAGAAGGTAAAAACTAAAAAGAGCACAACTTGCCATCTCTATTCTCCACATGAACCCATTTTCTAGTGCCTCTAAAATGCCATAATTTAGCATCTGCAGATTGTGTTTAATTACACCTTCACACAGCTATAGCTATCTGCTTTGAAATTAGCTTATGATTATGAGAATTTTCCTTTCTCCCTCCAGCTTCCTCACAAATTTCCTCGGCTCTTCTTCCCAACTGATCCAACTTTTGCAGAAAATGGTTGGGAAGTTCATTAAAAGCAACTTTTTAAGTTGAAAACAGACTTATTGTGAACAATCTTACCAACCAGTTTAATTGACATCTGAATAGAGCTTCCAGATGCGAGTCTTTTCCCGTAACTTGCGGCTGGCCACATCCGCGTGATAGAAAAAAGCATCAAGCTACTTAAACACCGTAACCCATCATTTTTTGCAGTAGAGATATTTAAGTTACTTGAACCTCCTCAAGATTTCTTCTGTTTTCCCAGAACCATTGCCGTCACACCGTTGTTCATCTCTTTTTGTTCAGTTGTCTTAAAATTGAAGTGCCATAGCTAGAAGCATATCAAGTATCAAATGCTTCTCAAACAATTTCTTTTCCGATGCAACTATAGCTTCAAAATGAGAGAGTTACGCTGGAACCTTTTCCCGGTAGTCCCTTCAGCTCAAGCTTCCATTAAAGAGTCACTATAGACAAGAGACAGTAACAGGGGAAATCCAGCAGTTAATATGTTTCCAGAACCCTATCCTCAACCATAGACAAGAGAACCACCATAGCTACGTTATTGCAGCATTTATCTGTACAGCCCATTAAGTGCAACTCTTAAAAGGAACCATAAAGATTCAAGAATGCTGGAAAGGGAATGAACATATAGAGGATGAGCTATGAACATATTGAAACGGCATCAATCCAACCCTAAATAAATACACCAAAGATCAATATGGAGTCGTTGAATGGATAACACTTGCAATTAATAAGGCATGAACTGAAGACATGGGCAAATTATCAACCAGTTCATACAAATGTAAGGCAAGTTACCAAACAATGAAGATGATTATCTGAATGATTGGGATCTCAGTTATCAGTATCAAAAGTCTCTGTTCGAACAATGGAGTCAGCAACTAAAAGTCTAAAACCAATATCAAAATTGCATCATATAAGATCAAAACACTCAAGACACAAAAGCATATTCAAGGCTATACACACATTCAGAGGTTTTGTTCCTAATTTCCCAAGCTTTCCAGTAAGACCACTGAGTAAACAGATAGATTGTGCATAACTTAAAACACAGCATAAATCGTCAACTTCAAAGTCCACATATAATATAATACATACTGCAAGATCTAATGAACATAAGGAAAGACAAGAGAAAGATAACAGTTTTAAAGTGATATTTCATACCAGACTATCCATTGTATACAGGTTCTCATTTAATATAATTTAAAGAATTCGTCTTGGTTACACTCACAGAAAGAAACAAATCAATATATAGAAGAATATTCTCTGTTGTCGTGATGCATTAGCGTGAAATGAATATTAGTAAGACACCACCAAAACAAATCTAGCAATAATCATTAGTTGCCATTCCTGAAGAAAGCAGATAGCATAAAATTGCTAAATACTCCTAATACTGCAGATGTGACATTAAACAGCATAACTCCAGATGTGACATTAATACCTGCATTAGTTCCCTACATATGCTGTCCTGAGCGAAGTTACAGAACCAGCTCAGGTCTGTCAAGACCTGCTTAACCGGCATTTCTAGCCGGAATGGCCAATAAAGCGGGGTAAGCTTCAATAACATGAGACTTTTTGCCAGAGTCTTCCAACCTAGTTAATCTACTGCCTTGAATCACTGTCTCAGGTGATTCACCTTCAAGCAACATTCTGCTATCACGCACCTGATTAAGATAGAACACAAAAGGAATTATGAAGGAATCAATCTGCTTTATCCAGAAAATGGGAGATTGCACCGCTGAGCAGAATTGTACAGGCTTGACCCATTTCAAAACCAGAACAGTGGATTAATTGGTCCACACCAATCATGATTTCTTCAAAAGTTTACATTGGGCTCAACAGACTTGGGATTATCAAAGATTGGTCCAATCTCGCCAGCAGTGACAAGTAGGTTCAATACCATCAACTCAACATGTTTTATTGCAAGTACTCCAGTATCAGCAGATAATTTACCCCATGAGATATAATATTCCGCACCATCTCCCTCATTTTTTTTACTTTTCAGCCCCCCTCAACATCCCTAACGATGGACATTGAAACATCAGAAAGGCATCCATTTTAACTTTATCTGTACCCGTGGCAGTATTGGCAACCAAAATCTTTGCATTTTCAGTCCTCCTGGGTTGTCCAATACCCATTTTGTTTCCAAAATAAACCCCTGATCCAAGTTTGTGATGCCCTTCAGCATCAACTCCTACTTTTGCAAAATGTTCCATGTTCTGAGAGAAGGTTATGGAGCACAAAGTAGCCATGGCAATCTTCGATTTAAACTTGTCTGCATTCTACAACCTTCTCCAACACACTAAGCTGCCATATGAAAACCTAAGAAGATCGAAATTGGGTGACTCTGAATATCTGCATTCACCAACTTTTCTGTCTCTCAAGAATCTCTTAGCCAAAACGGCAGTAGTCTCATCACCTTCATCAGGCCAGATTTTTGAGATGTCAGCAAATACTTTGGCAGCTGGGTTGTCACTGTATAGGGACTTCAAGATGGTCGCAGCCAAAGCAAGTATTAGTATAATGTTTTCCGTGCCTATTAATGGTAAAATCTTATCCATTCCTTTCATCCCAAAGTTGCCTCAACTAAGTCAGTGACTGCCATGGCTCCAACACAAGATGCTCAGTCACACTTTTCACATGCGAATGCGAAAACGTGACAAACTATCATCCTGCATGAATCAGTTTTACAGTTTAATACGAAAAATTTAGCCATAGCTTCTGCAGACAGTGTTCTTGTAGACCTCCAAAGGCAATAGCTTAGTGTGATATTCCTCCAATCAGGCTAATGCTTTTAAAGTAACGTGTCTCATTTAAGATTCAGATTTTCCTTTAACCTTCCACCTTCCTCACATATGAATTCCGACTACTTTCTTCACAACCGATTCAGCCGTGGCCGAAAATGGTTGGCAATAGCATAAAAACAACTTTTAGTTAGAAACAGATCCAACGTGAACAATACCAACCAGACTAAGCCTTCGGAAAATCATTTGAGACACAAAAATAGAAAATCTGAATTCAGCTTCAAGATGTGGGACATGTTCGGTAACTGGTCAAATCTGTGCGATATACCCATCAGCAAGACACTAAATACTGTAAAGTTAAATCCAGCAAGTTACTCAAACCCCCAGGATCTCCTCCGGTTCCTAGCATGTTTGCTTCCACACCTTGGGTTCTCACTGGATACAGTTTATACAAAAAAAAGAAAAAAAAAAAACTCTTTCTTGATGATCAGACTGTCTTCAGCCGACTTGATTAAAAAAACAAACAATGATGATAAATTGAAAACTCTTTCTCTGTTGTCCAATGCATTAGATTTCAGTCAAATATCAGCCTAAAATTTACACAAAACAATCAAACTATATCACCTAGATCTCCTAGACTAAACAATAAAGCTTTCAAAGAAACAAAAGGAAAAAGCTACATTAGCAAACATCACACATATGGACAAGAAGAATCTACATTACAACAACATTGGACACACATATATTCATGAAGAAGAATGACTCGACAAGGATTCATACTCTCTATCCACCAAATGGGCAGTCCTGGAATAATCAAGGATCTTCAACAGAGCCACGGCCTTACTCTTCCCTTTTGCAGTCCCATTCTCCACCACATCGATAAGCCCATCCAAAACCTCATCCAAACCCGTCTCCCGAATACACTCGGTGACCACCTCTCCACTGCATTGAACCAATTTCAGCAAGGCCGAAACAGAATTCTCCTTAATCTGAATGCTGGAGCCCGTAGTCCCATCTAATAGATCGATCAAAACCCGAATCCCAGAAACCTTCCGAAACGCCTCGAAACTCTCCTCACATCCGGCAACCTGAGCGATCACCGCCGTAGCGTCCTCCACAATCCCAAATCTTCCGTCATTACAAACCAACGAAAAAAGGGCCGGTACCACACCCAGCCCCACTAGAGCGGCCCGGTTAAGCGGGTAAAGGGAAATCCCAAACAACGCTTTCAACCCATCCTTAATACTCCTCGAACAAGAATCCGTCTTCTTGATCATATCCACCAGCCCAAACAAGATATCCCTCTTGTGCCCTATGATCGGCCGGTAAGATTCCACCATCAGCAAGCTGAACAGCGTCGCCGCCACGCACTGGACGGTGGAGGGAGAAGAAGGGTTCAAGAGCGCGTGAGAAGCCGCGTCCAGGAATCCGCGGGTGGACATTAACTGCTCCTTGGAGGATATGGAGAGGTTGTGGAGAGTGGCGGCGGCATTTTCTTGGAGGAGCTGATTCGGCGAGTAGAGGGCTTCGGCTATGTATGAGACGGCGGCGGCGTCGTCGGCGATGATCGGACGGCAGTCGGGATCGTTCTTGGAGATTAAACGGAGCTCGCAAATGGATTCGGTCCGGGTTTGTTCGGAAACGGACCCGAGTTTCGTCACTAAAGACTTCACAGCTTTCCTCTTCGCCTCCATTTCGTCGTACTTCGCCCGTACTCTGATTTTCAATGTCTTGGCATATGTAAATATAAACAGCCCAAATGATTATCTTACTAATATCTCGTTGAAAACTTTCTTTAAGACTATGTTTGGAAAGTGAGTTTCAAACCAAACCTTACGATTTGTGTTTCTAGAATTTTGGACAAAAAAATGTATAGAAATGTGAGAGATATATTTATTTTAAAATTTATTCATTTTGTTAAAACGATATGTTTTCTATAAAAAGAAAAAACGCATAAAAGCTTCGAACTTCCAAGCGGTAAGGTGGCTAGAATTGAATTGATTATTAAATTTCAATTCCAAACTTATGACATTTTATATTTCAAGTAGAAGAGAATAATAGATTTGTTACTTTTTATTTCATGTAATTATTGACTTATGACATTTTGAGGACCATTAATTAATTTATATAGGGATTTTCTGATTTGTCAAGTGTGTTCATTAATGTAATGACCCAAGTTGACCATGGATAATTCTTATTTACTACTCCTTCCATTTTTTTTTATGTCTTTCTAAAGAAATCATCAAAACCAAGAACACATTACTTATATAGTTAAAATACAAAAATATCATTATTTACTGTCTATACAATTTATCACAAATCAATAGAAATTCATTATAAATACTGTTTCATTTCCGATGCAAGGGTAATATTGGTAAAAAGTGATCAAATATATCTCGATTTGTGAAAACGACATATATTTAAAAAAATTTACCAAATCTTAAAATGATATATATTTCAAATGGAAGGCGTAGTAGAGATTATTATTTCATGGAGTATTAATACATAAAATGTTCAATTTATATTGGTCATTGCCTCGTACTCAATAGGACATCAAATTCAAAGGATTTTGATATACAGCGGTAGACTGAGACCTCTTGTACGGCTTTGATTACCTGTGCTTCACTTCCTTAACACGTTACAAATCTCAAAATAAACTAGTTTTTAAGAGCATAGAGGATATATAAAGTGGGCATTTTCTATCAGTACTTTGTCGTTTTCACAATTTGTATTATTATTAATAAGATTAATTATTACATAGTGAATATATATCTCAAGGTGAGTTGTTGACAAGAGGTTTACAAGTTCTAACTTTTTTCATTAGAAAGATAAGTTATAAAAAACGAAGATGATATCATGTAGAATCAATTCATAGACGCGCATATATTCAATTATTTAAATTTAATAAATAGCTTCTCCAAAGCCATCAAAGGAAATTATCAGGTAAACTATATAATAAAAATAATTCTGTTTAGTTAATACCAAAGCAAACTATTACTCCCTCCATTCACAAATAGATGTCGTTGGAGAGATTTCACATAGTTTAAGGAGGCAATAATTATCTTGTTAAAATACTATAATACCCTTATTTATTTTTAATTCAATTGTAGTCCCAATAAAATTCACTTCTAATACAATTCTACATTAAACATCACAACAATTTCCAATGTAAGGGTGATATTGGAAAAAATTGACAAAATATGTATCGATTTGTGAGAACGACATCTATTTTTGAATATTTGACTTTTCCTCCAACGACATCTATTTGTGAATGGAGGGAGTATCATTTAGTGGCAAGTCACTTTTTATTACCAAAAGAGGTTGGGCCGTAGCCCATTACTGCACCGAGATTATCACTTAAAAACTTTTTTAGGTCTCTGTATCCCCAAATCCACAATAATAATAATAATAATAATAAAATAAAATTATTTCTTTCCAAAAATCAAAACAACCGATGTTAGAAAAGGGTTTAAATATAGAGATTGGCAAAACTGTGGCGAGGCAACCGTGAGTGATACTGGTCAGATGGCTATCCCGTAATAGTGGTGAAAATATATATATATATATATATATATGTATATATATATTTGTTTTATTTTAAAATACGTAATTCATACAAAATGTCAGAATTACGTTCAAAACATCATTTAAACCGCTCTTCAAAAAAAAAAAATTTAAAACAAAATGGCTTTCCGCAAATTCCAAAGTTGATTTTTTCTTTATCCAACTATCCATTGTTAAACACTTAATAAACATGAACTGGAGGTTAAAATTTTGTGGAATCGGACTGGCATTTTCTCATTAAAAATGGTTAGACCAAAAGGGTTAGATGTCATTTTCAAATTGCCAATATTCTGACCTCATAATAAAAGTTTTTCTCTTTGTCCTTTTCCTTCTCTTTGCTGACAGACAACGACTGAAAATCAAAATATAATGGCAAGGAAAGAAAGAAAAAAGATAAAACGAAAGCCGGGTCATTGGACTGCAGATGAAACTCATTCAAACTAGAAAAAGTCTTCCTTAGTTCTCCTTCACCGAAACTCTGAAATCCCCTTTTCATCAATCATATCAACAACATAGCACAAAGAAAAAAAAAATTTTAGTTTAGCACAATCTTTGTGACATTGGGGCTTTCTGGGTTCTTTTCATTCCTTCATTCACACGCTAGAAGAATTCTTTGTTTGTTTTTTTATGCTTTAATCCCTTTTTGGCTTTTTACCTTTTTGTGTATTCTTCTAATCTTCAACTTAATTTTCCAAGTTGAAGAGAAGTTTGAAAAAAAAAATGGAGGTAGGAGGAGCTGAAGCTACTTGTTCAGGGGAAGATGGAGAAGCTTCATCTTCTCTGACTAAAGTTTCTGAATCATCCCTTGAAGAGGCCTTTGCAGAGCTATCTTTATTCATGGAAAAAATCAGCCCACTTGTTGAAGAATTGAAGGAGAACAGGATGATGGAAAAATCAGCCATTTACAAAGCAATTGAATCACTGGAGGCAGAGTATTATCGGGCAAAGATGCTTATGAGCTGCTCTGCCAATCATTCATCAAGCCCTTTGAGGCAAATGGAAGATGTCACACAAAACCTTGGAAGGTGTTTGGATCTTCTGTTGGTTGCTGGAAATGAAGTTTCAATGGTTGATAAGGAAAAGGTTGAGGCATTGAGGCAATCTCTGGTGAATTCCAGGTTTGACTTGATTTCAGAACGCGGATCAGAGTTCTTCAATGATATGGAAACAGAGGATGATTATGAGCAGGAGATAGTGGAGGAAAAAAGATGCAGCTTCGGCGTCAAAGACGTGGTTTTCGGGCTTAACTATGGGGATGATGAAGAATTTACTCGGGCGCTCATGGAGTTGGATGGTTTGCTTAGAGATAATATGATGAGGGACGATACAATGGATGAGGAAAGTGTTATCCCGATTTTGTGTAACCGGTTGAGCATGAGTAAAATAAAAAACAGAACAGTGATGCTAAGAATTCTAAGAAGCTTCATTCAAAGGAATGATGAATACAAGGTAATGACATTCTCTTTAGGTTGTTTTCTTGTTTGAGAAACTGTTTATCTAAGATTTTCGTGACATACATTTCCGTCCCAAAAAAATAGTCGTGTTTTACTGTTTTAGCTCCATTAAACAGTATTATGGCGAGTCTTTGTTACATAATCACTTCACAGTCCACATGTAAACACACTTATGACATGTTTATTGCAAGGTAATGGAATACATCGTTATTCACAACCATCAGCTCACTATGGAAAGGAAAGAAAAAAAAAAGTTTGTACAAATAAGCATTTGTGTTATACTGTTTCTTTAGTTTGCAGGAAAGAATGGCAGAAGCGGGATTTTTGTCGGTATTGGTGAAGTCGTTAGCGAGGGATGACGAAGAGCAGCGGGAAGCTGTTATACTGTTGTCATATCTTTCAGATGTTCCAACAGTTGTAAGAAGATTGGGTAAAGTTCGAGGGTGTATTGTAATGCTGGTTTCCATTTTCCATGGAAAGGATGAAGAGGCAGCTAATAAGGCGGAAATGTTGCTGAATGCCATGTCAAATAACACTCAGTACGTTCTAAATATGGCCGAGGCTGGTTACTTCAAGCCTCTCATACATCACCTTAAGGAAGGTAATCCCGAAAAATGCACCCCCTTTTGCATTCTGGTTCATCAAGAGTGGATCCTGGTCTATATCAGAAACTAATACGATATGAGAATCTTTCGAAATGTGCAAATCATAGTTGGCAACTAGCTGATCAAGTGTCTCCACTTGCAGGCTCAGACATGAGTAAGATTCTAGTGGCAACTGCGCTGTCAAGGATGGTACTCAATGATCAATGTAAAGCTTCCCTTGGAAAGCATGGAGCCATCGAACCTTTGGTACTCATGTTCACCAAAGGAAATCTTGAAGCCAAGTTATCAGCCTTGAATGCGTTACACAATTTATCCAGTTTGAAGGAGAACATCAAACTGCTCATCAGTTCTGACATTGTGGTACCTCTGCTTCAGCTCCTCTTCTCTGTGACATCTATTCTTGTGATTCTAAGAGAACCAGCTTCTGCTATACTAGCAATGATAGCTCGGTATGAAGATGTACTTGTCAAACCGCAAATTGTTCAGCAGATGCTCTCACTTCTAAACCTTTCTAGTCCGGTTATACAATGTCATCTTTTAAGTGCACTAACTAGCATTGCTTCTCATGCTAGTGCAGCTAGAGTAAGAAAGAAAATGAAGGAAAACGGTGCTATTCGACTTCTATTACCACTCCTAATGGATGGTAATTCCCAAATCAGAACTGCTGTCCTAAACTTGGTATATGCATTGTCAAAGGATGATCAAGAATATCTGGCACAACAACTGGAGGAAACTCACATTCTGATGATTTGTGGTATTATCTCATCATCAGATACTGAGAATGAAAGGGCTGCAGCAGCGGGGGTACTTAGCAATTTGCCTACAGATGATAAAAAGGTTACAGATACGCTGAAGAATGTAAATATACTGCCTACTTTAGTGTCTATATCGAGTTCCATGCCATCATATCCAAAACCTAGTGAAGTATGGCTTGCTGAGAGTATCGCTGCCATACTACTTCGTTTCACAGTTCCCTCTGATAAAAAATTACAGCACTTCTCTGTGAATCATGGAGTGATTCCTGCTCTGGTGAAGTTACTGACTTTTGGCTCGGTGCTTGCAAAAAGTAGAGCCGCAACATGTCTAGCCCAGTTATCACAGAATTCGTCATCCTTGGTGAAGTCCAGGAAATCCAAATGGTTCTGCACACCTTCATCAGTAGTCGGACATTGTGAAGTTCATGATGGTTCATGTTCTATCAAAAGTACATTCTGTTTGATCAAGTCCAATGCCGTTCCTCATTTCATCCAAATTCTTGAGGGTAGCGAAAGGGAAGCAGATGAAGCGGTTCTGAGTGCCCTTGCAACTCTGTTGGATGATAAAATTTGGGAGAACGGAACGAATTTTATAGCCAAGCATTTAGGCACTGAAGTAATCGTCAAAATTCTTGAATTAGGCAGCATTAAGGCACAAGAAAAGGCTCTTTGGATTCTGGAGAGATTGTTTAGAGTTGAATCTTGTCGAACGGCCGCTGCTAAAGCAGTTCTCATTGGTCTGGCGCAAACTGGCGACCTAGAATTAAAGCCAGGAATTGCTAAGTTATTGGCACAACTTGAGCTTTTGCAGGATCAGTCGAGTTACTTTTGAAATTATTCATGGTCTACTAAGGCAAGTTATAGAGTATCGTTCATCAGCCCTTACTCTGAAATGTTTTCTATCATAAGCCTTATTGTCACAAAAACATGTGCAAGACACTCCAACACTTAGAATTTAAAAATCAACAATTCTTCAAACTATGGCATCTTCTGTGGATTAAAATTAGCAAAATACGAACCTACTGGAAACTTGTTGAATCCTTTCAATCCCATCAACTACGACCTTACTAGACAAGAACTTGGAAGTTCTTCGATACAATCATCACTACGAGCATAATAAGGGTCCATATGAGGAGACGGCACACATGAATGTATGAAGGAAACAAACATGACTACATTATAAAAAACTAGGCACTACTTTTCGCTTAGTCCCAAATTGGGAGAGAATTTTGGATGAGCGGAACCTCGCAAAAATAACAGCACCTCATTAAAGTTCATGTAAAGACAACAGTTCAATTCCGTACATCTCTCCCATTAAATATCAAAGTAATCTCACATCACAGTGATAATCCCGATCTAAGTGAAGTATCCATGGGTAAACAATCTGCAAAAAAGAACGTCCCAACCAAAAGCATCAATCAACAATTTCATGTATTATTCTCTGAACAACTTTTTCTAGAGTACAGCTAGAAGAATTTGAGAAGAGGAAACCATAGAAACAACAAAAGGGGATAAAATATTAAGGGAAAGGCCCCAGGGAGAATGGAACAAGTCCTTTGACAGTTAATTAACTCAACCATTGTTTTAATCCTATGATTTGCATCACTCAAGAGAGCAAACAATCTGATCAGTGCTAAAAATGCATTTCAGTACAAATGAACATCTATAGACCATCTAGTCCTTGTTGGAAAGGATTGAACTACCTTTTGAACAAAAAGCAGAACTTTTTTGTATATCAATGGAATACTAGAAAGCTAAAAATAGGGAGAGGAATGTGACCAAAAACATTTTCTTCAGCGACTGATGAGATCATTTGAATTACATCTATTATAGAGCTGCCATCATTGTGGTAGTTCATTCATTTTGCATTTTGTTTATAGATATTTCCAAAAGAGACCAGCATAACCGAAAGACTAGAGAACTAACCCAGAAGAAAGACACAATGAGAAGAAAATGTTATTGAAATAGAAAAGTGTGCATTTCAGAGATCAACCAAATAGATAAAATACTGGGCATGCATAAAAATTGGGGGTAGATGGGGAAGAGGAAATAGAAGGGGTTGGATCTTACAGCTATCAAGACTGATAGACCTCAGGTAGTTGAAGACCCACACTAGCAGCAGATTTCCCCAGAATTCTCTTCATCTCATCTGACCTATCCACAGCAATGTTATAGGAAAATAGCAAGTCCTGCACAATTTAAAGAAACAAATCAGATAAAATCAGATGATATAAGGTAACAAGTCATTGTGAACCTGGCTGAATGGTCTTCGATGTTTAAAAAAATACAGATTCAAGTAAGCAGGGAAAACCACAACAGGGGGCAGAGGTAAAATAATAATAATTATAACTCAATACACCAATAGTTCTTCAACGAAAGCTCAACTAAACCTTCTTTATTCCATTGTCCTTGACAAACCCATCTATCTATCTAACCCTCTTTCTTTATTTGAAGTCATAAGAACTACCCGTATTACAAGGATAGTCCCAAGCACGGGAATCCAGAAGTTAATTCTCTAGTGGGAAAAAATATATCCTGTTCTCAGAACCCCTATTTTGTTAAGCTTCCATAAAAAGTGTTTGAAGTACTAGCAAACCATCAAATTTATTTTAACAAATAAATCAAGTTCCCAGTCAGCAGTGTAGCAAGCCAGCAATGGAGTTGATATTATTAGTACATTGACCAATAAAAACTCCTATTAGTACTTATACTACCTGTTAAGCTATTTAATGCACACTAGTATATAATTGTTGAGTAGTAGCAGACTCTATAGAACCTACAAATATTTTTTATTTTTATATAGAAATATAGACAAGAACTAAAGAGCAAAAGTAAAATACACAATTGGAAGAACATCCTGAATTACCAGGAGACTACCTTATGATGATGTACACTGTTTAGCAGGAAGGTATAATCACGGGCAAGATTTAACTTTTGCCGAATGGAAGAAGGATCTACAGCAGGCTGTCCACCGTTGCCACTGCGAAACTCTTGCTTAATGAAGTCTACGAAATGGGCCTTCTGCTCTTCCTTTCCAATATTTTTCCTCACTGCTTTAAGAAGGTTTCTATACACTTTACTTGCCACTTGTATTCCTTCTGACGAACTCATCTTTTTTCCCACACTACAAAAAATATCCCTTCGGATGTTAATTCTGAACACTCGAACATCATGTATGCCATTAGCTCCAAGTTGATAGAAATAAACATGGCAGAAGTGAAAACATTACATCATCAAGAAATGTTACTCCATCATAAAAAAGGAGCCATATACAAAAAGAAAGAAGCTACAACAAGAACACCTGAAATAAGTACGTAATGACTTAAAAATACAAAGTAATTTCTAGTTTCAGGCTTGTTGCTAATAATCATACAGTTTAATCCAATCATATAGTTTAATCCATATGGATTCTGAATTATATGCATTGTCACTTGCAGAACATTTCCTTGATCAAAGATGTAGGGTATAAAGTAACACATTTCAAATTTGTGTTCATTCTGCACCTTTTGGCACTTGTTTTGGATGCTTATAAAACAAACTACATACAAGATACCAGAATCGGGAAAGCAACACGCCAATCGACAAAGTGGACATACTGCGGATATATGATTTAAAACCACAGCCATTTTAGAATTTTAGAGAAGCTGCAATGCCATTATTATATGCAAAATAGAGCATCTTTTCCAATCAGTATGACGGTCCTCTGATTCAAAGGCAACAGCAGAAAAAAATTAGATATTGAACATAATCAAAACTGATATCAAATCTTTCGCAGGAGAAACAGTCCTGAGATCAGATCTAAATTGAGAAACAATGACAGAATATAAAACTATTTATTCTTCAGTTCATCGAGCATCATGTTGGCTCTGTTCATTTTTTAATGTTCTCCCTCAGCGACAGACGTAAACTGGTAGACTGTATATGAGCTTTCTTAGTAACAAGCTTCACAAACAAAAGAAAAAATGGTTCTCCTTCTATGAATGAGATTAAAAACAGAAAATCAAACGCATGAAAGCTTACTCTACCAAAATATCAATCAGACCTTTTTATGTCAATTGAATGGAAAAGAAATCTGAAAGACTTGAGTTGCTTGTAGTATTTTAAACTAGTTAATTTGCAGTTTGTTTATATTTCGACAATAGTTCAGTCAGTAGACCCAGGATTAATAGTACCATGTCATGATCTTCAGAGTCAAGAATGGAGGGTGAATCTTGAAAAAGGGTCTTTCAGCTTTTCCCATCCATATGAAAAGCTGAAGAGCTGAAGCAATAATAAAATTTTTTGCATCCAAGTTAGATACATAGAACTACAGCAATTGTTTTCTGTTCCCTAATTAAAGATGAATTAAAATAGGAATCCGTCACAACTGAGTAGAATATGCTCCACTCTTGCCAATTAGATCAGTCAGCTTTTGCTGCGGATAAAAATCCTAATCTATATCCCCAGGGCAGCATGCATAGCCAGCACATGCGTCTAGAAGCTGAAAACAACCTATTCGAACAGTATACAAAGTTGTTCACGCAATATATGCAATGAAACATAGAAGACATGACACCAAAACAACTCAAAAGAAATCCCAAATTAAGCTTAAGTAAAACAAAAGAATCGACAGCAGGGGTATATAAAATAATTGAAAAGAGGTTTGGCAGATGCTTCAACTAATAAAAAAAGAAATACAAGATACCAGAAATTTTTACCATACAAGTTAAAGAAAATTACTCATCCTTAAAACCAACCAAACACTGACCTTAAGCATGTAATTTACAGCAAGCACTATATAAAGCCAACAATTGTTAAGTTAATGAGAATCAACAACAAAACTAACTTGGTTGAAATCCCAGGAGAAAACAAAGAAATCCAGAAGATTCCTAAACAAAAGTGTGAGAATTATGCTAAATAATCAAGCCAGCACAGAAATCTTTCAGGAAAAAGAGCTTCTGTAACTTCTGTATTCCAAATTAAAAAAAAAAAAAAAAAAAAAGAAAACACTCATGAACAATACAGTAAGTCCAACATTTTTATCAAGGGCGATGCTTCAAGCGCAGACAAACAACCATGCACTAACAACCATGCTTCAAGCTCAATGCAGTTACAGGATTCCATACCCTCGAAATGTCTCTAGCTGACAGTTCTTTCACAAGATACCTGGTACAAGAACACACAATCTTAGAATATGAACCTTTATGAAAACCAGAGAAAGTGGTATTCATTGTCATTCTTCATAACTATGACAGCAAAGTAAACAAAACATGGGAGAAACCCAGCATTTTATAATCAATCAAAATTACTACTTGACCCACAATGGGTACAAGATGAACACTGACAAACACGCAACTAGAGATTGTTTAGAAAACTACCACACAAGTAAAACCATAGAGAGTCGCCCTTTTCCCTACGTATACCAACACAAGTGCCGAACTGACACTCAAGCATATGGTCTCCAGAAGCCCAACTTTCCTTTAAACCCTTCATTCTAACCATTTTTTCAACATCAAACAATCTGTACAAATCCTTCCTTTGATAAACCACCAATTCTACTGAAATTCCAAACCTACCTCAGAGAATGGCAAACACCGCCAAAAAAAATACCAAACAAACCAACAAAATGGCATCTTCAGGTGGTTACTTTACTACATATAATACCAAAGTAAAACAAGTAAAATAGAAGGGGACAAAAACCGAAACTTGATCTAAGCTCATACGAAGTCCAAACCACCAAAAGTTTGATATCCACGTGATCAATATAGTCGAAGTAGTAACAAAAACATATAGACCACCATAAGGATCTTATCTATGTTTCCAGAATTTCAACCACTTACACAGTGATATAACACAATCAAAACACAGAAGAATCACAACGCACCTCCAAACACTCCAATCAGATCACAAAATTGCAAGAAATGAAATCAAACGACAAAGAAAAATCACAAATAGAATCAAAATAGTACCTTTTAAACTATATACCCAGACAGCCCTGAGTCGACTCGGGTACGGAATACAGCCGGGATTCGGTACATTGATCCTGGACCCGTTGACTTCACGTTGACTACAAGTGGGAGAGTTTTGGAGCTTTACTCCATTCTTTTTGAAGGAATTTTGCTGGGTTTAGAACAAACAGGAGAAGAAAGAGAGTGAAGAAAGAAAAGCGAGAGGAGGAGATGAAAAGGAAAGAAGACCACGTTCAGATGAACGAGGCTAGGAGAGAGAAACAGTGAAAAGGTTTGGGAGGGGAGGCGGCCAAGAATGGAAAGGAAAGATAGTGACGTATCTTTCTAGTTTGGGCGAATGTCAAAAAAAAAACCCAAGGTTTAGTTCATTATCAAAAACACCCCCAAAGTATTAGGAATATCAAGAAAATCCCTAAACTTTTTTTCGATACACAATTACAAGTACCTAGTCTATTAGATGTGAAGTGAAGCCTATGGAGAAAGGGGTAGTACTACTAAACGGGAGACTCCACGTGCTCACACCTCGATCTGGTACTCGGAAAGCCTTCCTGGCGGGTGCAAGATAACATGCACAACTCAACACACAAAGGTGTTGTTAGCGGGGTTTGAACCTGAGACCGGGTGCAAGATAACATGCACAACTCAACACACAAAGGTATTGTTAGCGGGGTTTGAACCTGAGACCTCTTGGATCTCAGGTTTTGATGCCATGCCCACTGCCACTTGGGCAACCCCTTGTTGACACACCCCTAAACTTAATCTCCCACAATATGGCCAGAGAAAAATTGATGTGTTTTAATGACCAATGCAAAAAGAACACTTTGAAGACGATTTTGCCCTCAACTAAAATCTCGTAAAAATTTGACCTACTTTTCTCCCTGTAATGTATTTTTCTCCCTTGAATCGACTGTCATCATCCGTCCAAGAATTTGAACCCAAAACTACAAAGTATCATCGGAGAGAACACTTAAATTTTCAAGCACTGAAACAAAGTTAACAAAAAAAGGAAAAAAAAAAAACAATCAAACAAATAAATAATCAACTCCTTTATAATTTTTATTGGACAAAATGCATTTTTGATCCTTAAACTTTGGGGGTCACAACTTTGAATCATCATTAATTTTAGACTGACAAAAATGGTCACCGTCTTTTTGTTTTATTCATCAATGTTGATCCATCTAACAGAATTTTTCAAAAATTAATGTTGGCACCCTTAATCTATTAACTCTTTTATTTTTTTAATTATTTTCCTTTGACATGGGCTCCACCGACATTTGACCACCAAAAAAAAACTTTTTTTTCTATTTTTTCATTTCAGAAAAAAACCCCAAAAAAGGACTATCTTAAGGGAGACCTAGCATAAGTGTAATTGCATTAACGGCGGCTCCCTTAAACGGCTATCTTCAGACAGGTATTTGTGAATCGTAAGACTTATGTCTTTTAGGGATTTTCTGCCGACTATCATATAGACAGACAATACTTCGTCGGTCTTTCTTGAGGTCGGAAGGTTATTTGTGAATCTTAAGACTTATATATTATCTTTTAGAGAATTTTTCTCGACTATCGTGTAGTCGAACAGTACTTCATCGACCTTTCTCGATGTTCGGAAGGTTATTTGTAAATCTTCAGACTTGTAGTCTTTTAGAGATTTTCTGCCGATTATCACATAGTTGAACAGTACTTCATCGACATTTCTTGAGGTCGGAAGGTTATTTATGAATCCTAAGACTTGTAGTCTTTTAGAGATTTTCTGCCAATTTCCATATAGTCGAACAACATCTCGTCAACCTTTCTTGAGATCGGACGAGTATTGACGTCAATAAGTCTTTTTGGTTCGGATGCAAAATAATTTGGGGGAAGGTCGTAATTGCATTAATAACCAAGCCATACTTTGGAGAGTAAAAGAGGTGAAGTCTTCCCATCCCTAGAAGGAGTTGTTACAAAAGGTGCGCCTTCGAACAAGAATACAAATATAACTCTTCAGGTTTTGGATATTGCACCACCGAGGAAGGAGGACAAGGTCGTCATGGCATGTTTGCAGACGGTAGCTCCCCGAGGGCGAAGCTTTCACGACCTTGTACGGTCCTTTCCAGTTGGGAGACAACTTTTTATATGATTCAGCATGGGTGACATTGTTTCTTCGGAGAACAAGGTCCCCGACAA